CCATGGCATCCAAAACCATCCCTTTATGTCAAAAGCGGGAGAACAGCGATAGTAAAATTAGAACTATTTGCAAAATTGAGTGATAATGATTCGTGGGGAAATTCGTCAGACACTGAAAACGATTTTACGACTTTGCTCAGTGATGTGCGAACTTGGCGCTATATTTCAAATTTCAGTGTTTTTGGTTTGATTGTATTATTGATCTAAATTTATTATATTATTTTTTATGATTTATTAAATTAAAATGTGAAACCCGAAATCATAAATTATAACATACCCGCAATGTTTACTAGACTCTTGTTCGGACAGATTTCAGTGAGTTATTCCTAAAAATTACAGGCCTACAATTAAAAAAATACATATTTCCATGCAAAAAAGTACCGCTTTGAGCACAGAAATACTGACATAATCAGACCGCTAGGGAGGCTACGTCCCTAAATGTAATAAATCCTCTTTCCATCCACAATTTCGTAGAGAAGTAGGGGATCAGAAAGTCATAAGCTTGTAGTGGTAATTCAGTCTAGAACATAGTCAAATTCTCTGTTCGTGTCCCTATCAGATATTGCCATGCCTTTATGGAAGCTGTGATAGATTGGTGATCCACAATTTGTAGTGCAAGGCCAGTAGAGGCCACCATCAATAAAGGCAGCAACATCTTTATTACCTATTAGGTCTTGCTCAAATACCCATTGTTTTGCCGGAGAGGGGCAGATCCAAGTTCTTAGTTGATCCAATAACACTGCTCTATAATAATTCTGTAGGACTGGGAAACCCATCCCCCTTTAGATTTGTGTTTCATAAGAGTAGTAAAAGGATACTCTAACTATTTTTCCCCCATCATATATTTCTTTGAAGAATTGTAATAAAAGTCGTGAAGAATTGCACAGGTAATAAAATAGGTACTGTCCTAAAGTAATATACAATTTTTGGAAGTAGGAGCATTTTAAAAGGACGCAATGCGGCCTAACCAGGATACTTCACATTTAGCCAAGTTAAGTAGATCATTTTTAATCATTTTTGTCTACCATACTTGACTTTATATAAATGTGCTGAGGTAGTTGTTAGTATTTATTTGGGAATTTAGCTATCATTATCCCACGAGCAAGGGAATTCAGTTCTTAACCTCATAAGTTATCGCTGTTTAAATATTAATGGGGAGGGTGTGACATTTGCTTATATTCACTTTATAGTAAGATGCTGCTCCAAAGGATGTGATTAACTTGGCCACTGTGGAAAGAGAAGTTGCTACATCTGTTAGAGTCAAGATCACATCATTGGTAAAGAGTCCTATATGATCCGTGTTTCCTCCTGCTCTAATACCAAAGATAGTGTTAGAAATCCTAATTACTTCCGCAAACAGTTCTATTACCATAGAGAGGATAATGGGGGATAATTGAAAGTATCCAACAGGACTGAGGAAGTGAACACTTTGGCAGATGGGTGTGTGTATAATTCCATGATGGCTTGTAAGATAAAGCTATTAAAGCCAAACCTATGTAGGGTTGCTTGTAGGTACTCCAGTGTACCCTATCAAACGCTTTTTCAGCGTCCAAAGCTATAAATGCAGCAGGTAACTTACAGGATTCAGCAATTCTTAGCAGGTTCAGCATCCTCTGCATCCCATCAGGCACTTGTCTCCCTTTTACAAAGCCAACCTGATCAGAGGCAATCAAAGCCAGGGCGACATCTGCCAAGCGGTTAGCTAGTGCCTTGGCATAAACTTCAAGGTCCACGTTTAATAAGGAAATAGGCCTAAAGTTTTGTGGTATGTCAGGCGATTTCCCTGGCTTTTGCAATGTAACGATGATTACTTGAAGCATTTCCTTAGGAAATGTGGCTTGGGTTGCTGCTTACATGCTAATAGATGGGGCGGTAGGACATCCTCAAATGTTCTATACTATTCAGCAGGGAGTCCATCCTCTCCTGGAGACTTATTTAATGCTAATGAGGAGATAACTTTTCTTAGCTCAATAGCACTAAAGAGGCATTTAATCTAGCTAAAACATCCAGGTCTATTGAGGGAAGGTTGACGAAACCCAAAAATGTTGCTATACTTTCCGAGGACGGTTGAGGAGTATCCGTATCTTTATTTAAATTATAAAGGGCCTTGTAGTATTCCATAAAGGAGTTAGCAATATCCTTAGGGTGAAAGGCTTTAGTTTTGGTTGTGGGATGTATTAAATATGCTAATCTAGATTTAGCCGGTCTTGATTTAAGGTGATTTGCTAAGAGCTTTCCCGCTTTGTTACCCTGAGAATAGAAGGTGGCTCGCAATCTATACAAGCCTCTCTCCTGTTCCTAGATAAGAAGTCTTTTGAGCTCATTCCTACATTCCTTCAAATCTGCTAGTAAGGCAGGTGTAACTTGTTGCTAATTCAAGGACTCTAGATATTTAATGCGAGCAAAAAGCTCCTGGGTCTCTTTCATCCTACGTTTTTTTCCAAGCTGCAAAAGTAGCGCTCAGACGTATGCTTTATGGGTGCACCACACCGTGGTTGCAGAAACTTCTGCCGTTGTTTTAGGTTGGAAAAATTCTTTAAGCTGGGATTGCAACTTCTTTCAATGGTTGTTGTTTGCAAAAAGACGCGTGTTGTTTCTCCACAAAAGAGCTTGGTTTACCGTATGTTGTTCTTGAATTTCTACCGTAATTGGGGCATGGTCTGACCATCTAATATCATGAATGTTAGTACTTGCAATATTGTGAAGCAATGACAAATCAGAAAGAATCAGATCATTTCTTGAATATTACGTGGATAGGAAAGAAAGCGTAATCCATTTTTCGCTGGGTGAGGACAGCACCATACGTCGTATAGCGCCTCCATGTGCAATAAAGGCCATAAGGATGGGATGGTCTACAAATAGAAGGGGGTGATGTGCAATCTATTGATTGGTCAACCACCAAGTTGAAGTCTGCCAACAAAAGAAAGTTCCCCTTAAAAAACGCCTCTAGTTCTAGCCAGCAATTTCTGTAGGAATAAAAGTTGACCTTGATTTGGGGCATACACAGTAACAATAGTATAGTCCACATTATTAATAGAACATACTAAAATAATGTATGTCCCATTTTCATCAACAATAACATTGCATGCATTAAATGCTACCAAATTTTTTTATGGCAATGAGAACACCATTCTTTTTGTTCTCATAAAATACATGTGGGTATGCCTTATTAGTGCACTTTGGGGGTTTAGCTGCCATAAAATGCGTCTCCTGAATACACATCTCCTTTTCATTTTTGGCTTTCAGCCCACATGACTTTACGCTTATAAGGGCTATTCAAATGATAAAAACTTTATAGTCACTTTAAAGCATGTTCTCTAGACACATATAGTTGCAGACACAAAGGAAAAAATAAAGTCCTTAAAAAAATAAACCGAGTACACTGCTATAATTGGAGGGGAAACATCATAGGTCCTTTAGGACCAATAAAAAGAAACAGAACAATGACAGAAAAAGGTTAGATTGAATGCCCCTTCTTAGACCTTCAGAATTTGCAATACAATGAAAGAAGAGGTGCACCATTTGAATAGAAAAGTGTATCTCTACTTATGTCCATTCAATGTGTAATTTAGACAGTTTGGGCCTTTCATCAGTAGGTGTATCAGTAGCCAGTATCCACCACTCTTTACGGTACGTAAGTCCTGCCTCCAGAGCGTGTATAGTGATGGTATTGCCATGATGAGTGACAATATAATTGAATCCCCAACGGTAAATAATATTGTGGTTCTTTAATGCTTTAGTGATTGTGAGGAATTTCTTCCTGTTTTGCATAGTGGCTTGGGATAAATCCGCCTACAGAGTAATAGCCTGCATTGCTTTGTCCTTTACCTATATGGTAGTAATGGACTCTGGCGAGAATGTCCTGCGGAACAGAGTCTAGCAGGAATTCAGGCTTCGGTAAGCTGTGGGCTCTATCGATGATTACTGCATATTCATGCATATCTGGACCAATGTATGCAGTAGTTGTTGCAAAAAGTTGGAAAGGTTTGCAGGAATAATGGACTCAGGCACCCCTTGGAATTTAATGGTATTACACAGAGACTGGTCTTTCAGGTCGGCAAGTTTAGCTTGAATAGCTTGCACGTCAGCCTGTTGATGTTTACAAGCGTCCACTAAGCTATTGTGTACAGCACAAACATCTCCATTTTGTGCTCAATATGCCCGACTCTGCTCTAGAATTCTGGCACTTCAGTGTTCACTTTAGCTAGCATATTCACCACTGTGAAGAGGCAGGAAACTGCTCCAAAAGAGGATGTACAGAATGATAGGGCTGCATTTCTCCCTCTTCTCTATTGCAGGGTGGTCCCTGCTTTGCTTTTTTTAATTTGGCTGGGTTGCGGGTGGATGGGCTATCCAGAGGAGAGGGCTCACCAGAGCTGGCAGATGGATTGCTGGGCAGGTGGATGAGGAGGAGCTGCTTGCATTAAAGCCTGAATCCTCCACAGCAGAGATGCACATTGCCGCGTAGGCACCATCTTAGATCTATCTCTCTCCCCGGCTGGCAGAAAAAAATCTGTCAGTTTCTGTGGTCCCCCTATTTGGCATTACTGCAGATGGCAGAGTAATCCGCCAATGTCAGAGGATAGAAGTAGAGGCACCTCCGACGCTTGTGAGGGTTTTTAAGGTCAGGAGATCGGAGCTCCTCAGACCGGAATTAGGCAGGACAAGCACCCACACACCTCTCCCCACCCCCAGAATTTAGCATCTATACCTTTCTATCCATCCCAATCCCTAAACACTTAGCTGATTCCTGACACTGCTCCAGCATCTCTTCTCTTAATTCTGGTCTCACAGGAGACACTGGGAGCAGCAGGAGCTTATGTCAAACTCCTGTTAGGACGCAGGGGCATGGCTTACCAGTACTGTGTGTGTCTATAGATGCACATAGCCCGGCTTGGGAATGCAAATGTTTTTTTTGGAATAAATAAACTGCCTTTAATATCACTTTAAGGAACAGTTACAGGACATTCAATCCTTCAAAACTGAACACAAAACAATACCTGTGTGGAGTCAAAGCTTCGACAGTTGGCCAGATAGAGCTGCACTAAGGACTGAAAAGCTTTGCTGACCCTCTGCAGATTTATGATGCGTCGTAGTGGTAAATAGGACAGGACATGAGGGACCAACACATCTTCCCAAGGCAGATCCAACAGATGGAGACTGGAGATAAACAGAATAACAATAAGAACTAGAAGAATGCAAGCTGTATTTATTATTTACATTACCCTGTGATAAAGATTGAAAATAACAAGCAGCCCTCCATATAAAATAAATGAAACATTACACATTCAGAATGTACATACAGATAACATCACATTCCATCACTTACAGCGCCTTGAAAAAGTATTCATACCCCTTGAAATTTTCCACCTTTTGTCATGTTACAACCAAACACATAAATGTATTTTATTGGGATTTTATGTGATAGACCAACACAAAGCAGCATATAATTGTGAAGTGGAAGGAAAATGATAAATGGTTTTCAAACTTTTTTACAAATAAATATCTGAAAAGTGTGGCGTGCATTTGTATTTAGCTCCCCTGAGTCAATACTTTGTAGAACCACTTTTCACTGCAATAATACCTGCAAGTCTTTTTGAATATGTCTCTACCAGCTTTGCAAATCTAGAGAGTGACATTTTTGCCCATTCTTCTTTGCAGAATAGCTCAAGCTCTGTCAGATTGGATGGAGTCTATGAACAGCAATTTTCAAGTCTTGCCACAGATTCTCAATTGTATTTAGGTTTGGACTTTGACTGGGCCATTCTAACACATGAATATGCTTTGATCTAAACCATTCCATTGTAGCTCTGGCTGTATGTTTAGGGTCATTGTCCTGCTAGAAGGTGAACCTCCACCCCAGTCTCAAGTCTTTTTGCAGCCTAACAGGTTTTCTTCTAAGATTGCCCTGTATTTGGCTCCATCCATCTTCCCATCCACTCTGACCAGATTCCCTATCCCTGATGAAGGAAAGCATCTCCACAACATGATGCTGCCATCACCATGTTTCACAGTATGGAAGGTGCTCAGGGTGATGTGCAGTGTTAGTTTTCTGCCACACATAGCGTTTTGCTTTTAGTCCAACAAGTTACATTTTGGTCTCATCTGACCAAAGCACCTTCTTCCACGTTTGCTGTGTCCCCCACATGGCTTCTCGCAAACTGCAAACAGGACTTCTTATGGATTTCTGTCAACAATGGCTTTCTTCTTGCCACTCTTCCATAAAGGCCAGATTTGTGGAGTGCACGACTAATAGTTGTCCTATGGACAGATTATTCCACCTGAGCTGTGGATCTCTGCAGCTCTCCAGCGTTACCATGGTCCTCTTGGCTGCTTCTCTGATTAATGGCCTCCTTGCCCGGCCTGTCAATTTAGATTGATGGCCATGTCTTGGTAGGTTTGCAGTTGTGCATAATCTTTCCACTTTTGGAAGATGGAGTGAACAGTGCTCCGTGAGATGTTCAAAGTTTGGGATATTGTTTTATAACCTAACCCTGCTTTAAACTTCTCCACAACTTTATCAATGACCTGTCTGGTGTGTTCCTTGGCATTCATGATGCGGTTTGCTCACTAATATTCTCTAACAAACTTCTGAGTGCTTCACAGAACAGCTGTATTTATACTGAGATTAAAATTACACACAAGTGGACTGACCTCTCAGTATTTATGTACATCCAATGGTGATAACTGTGATACCATCTAGCCATCGGTCTTCTACACCATGGATAGAATGCTTGCGCTAAGCCTACATTGTCAGAATGACCTCTTACCATTGTTACACTTTAACTCAGCGTTTTGTGTGCCTTCTGCGATCACATTGATGTTTCAGTCCTCAATTCAACACATGTTGTTGTGGGCGAAACATGTTGGGATTTGAAATCTGCATACCACAATAAACAGTCAAGCTGCATGTGATTGTGAAGTCGTTGTAATGGTTTTTAAATTGAATGGAATTTTAATGGCACTAAAACTGTTAATTTTAAATTTAGTTTTGCTTTGCACCTTAAAAATCCCCAAATCTTCTGGTAATTGTATGCAAGTTATTTTTATAGTTCAAAAGTAAAAATCTATCTACCATCAAAAAAGAAAAGTGCAAGATTAATTGCAAACCTCCTGTGTGCCAAGCTCGCACAAATTGTGAACAGTCCAGGTGGTCAAAAAATACCATGCAATACCACTCAAGGCATAGACACCCCAGTCAAAAGCAACCACCATACCATGGACCTAAGAAGTAAACTAGTGGCATAATAATTTCCTGTAAAATCACAAATTTAAAAGGATAAGGTCACCCTTACAAAAAAAATAAATAAATATCATTATTAATAATAACCTTTTTTTTTACAGGTAAAAAAATATATGCATTTATAACTTTTTTTTGTTAGGACAGGGATGTGCAATTTATATCGCCCGACACTCGGGACATAGTTCTAGGTGCCGGGCAGGTAGTTTCCTTGTAACATTTAGCCCTGCTGTGGGCAAGCAGCATGGCTTACTTGACAGCTTATACAGAGTTGAACACGAAAAAAGTAGCAGTCTACATTAGAGCAGTCCAAAATAATAGCTTGACTTCAGACAAGCAAAGCAGAATAGAGTGTACAGAAACAGGCATCCGGCTGACAAAACAGACCTCACAATAGAGGGAACAGTATAAGCAAGTAAATAGCGAGCACCGGTTCCACTGGTATTACAAGCCCAGAACACTTTGTTTTTCTATTTAGCAGCTTGGATTGCTTTTACAATATTCAGCATCACCGGCTAAAAATACCGGGGTTCATGGCTGCAAATATTTCCACTGTATCCACGCTTTAACTAGAGGACGTACAGGTATGTCCTATAGTGTTGAAGTGGTTAAAGGGATTTTAAACCTCAGACATGAAATATGAACAAAGTATATCCCCCAATAATGTGTACTTGTCTCAAATCCAGAGTACTCAGTGTCATTTCTGTCTGCTGCCTCATTCCTCTGCTATAAGCAGGAGTCACTTGTGACACACTTTCCTGACACCAAGAGAAAAATGGTGACAGGGGAGGGAGCTCCAGGAGATTGACAGCCTCAGCTCTGTTCCTGTGAGCTGTGTGAATTAGGGTGTGTCCCTTTCCTCCAATCAACTATCAGAGCTCTCCTCACTGATGTAACTTCAGCTCTCCACCCCCTGCTTTTCAGAGCTAAGAGATCCTGTGTAAATGCTACACTTTGAATGGATGTAGGGGAAAGACAGCTGTAGATAGACAGGTACAATTTATGTAGGATGATTTGTTTCATCTCTGTGTATCACCTGAGGCCAGTCACTTCATTAGGTATCTGTAAGGGTTTACAACCACTTTAAGTAGTAGAAGTGTATGGATTATTTTTCAAGAATAAAGCTATTGTTTATTGTCACTTTAATGCTACTGACAAACAGCATAATATGTGTCATTTTTTATTTTGTCTATAGTTTCACTTTTAAGTGTATATGTAGCCAAACTTTTTTTTTTTTATAGAATGATTAAAACCCGTCAGTTTATTTATTGCCTTATTTGTATCACTGGGAAAATATCCCTACATTTCGTGTCCCAGAGATGTAGCAGAAAGTTAAACAAAAATGTCCCAAAGTGAGAGGAATTCCCCTTTTAAAGAGTTTTCCCAGGAACAAGTATCCCCTACTAGAAGATTTCTGGGGACAACTAAATGTTTCAGATTTCTCCTTGCTTTCTTACCGGAGGACAATGGTCAGCAAGCCTTGAAAAGAGATCTAATCTTTCCCCGCCCTAACCCAAATTTAAAAAAAAAAATGCCTAAAGATACATTTTAATGAATCATATGATACATTTTCCACTGATCAGTGCATAAGCACCCCATACATAGAATAATGCCTATCCTTAACAATGGAGTACACATGCCAGCTCCTTGTAGTTTACTAATTGCATACAGCAAGTGTCATGACTAGCAGAGCTCTGTAGAACAAAAGAAGTCCACAATTACCCAGGTGCAGCTATCAACCAGGAGAATTCATTCTACAACACCACATAATGGGAACCTTACACTGAAAGCAAAGAATATTTTTATATGTCAGTAAGTCTCCAAGTCTTGTTCTCACTAGGAATGATTCAGTAGGCAATTCATTAATTAGTCTATTTATATACAAGACTTTGAAATATCTTACAGTGACACTTCCTCAAGCTCTAATTAGATTAATTGCTTTTATTTAATGAGCTAGAAAAACATGATTCATGATGAGCATTTTTCCTACTCTCCATGATCCGGAACAGAAGATCATGAATATTCTACCATGTGTAGCATATTTCAAATCTTAGTCACACTTACAAAACAAAAATTAGAATGTTTAAACAGCCTATCAGAAAACAGAATCAGAAAATGCCAATTTTCCATGGAAAATTGTTGGCTAAAAATGTTTTATTATTAAACTATTTTCATGTATTCTGTTATAAACTACTAGGGCCCATTCACACTAGCCCATGTGCTATATCGCAGCACTTTAGTGTGAAGGCAGCAGCCATTTTGGGCTGCAGTGCCCTTTAGAGGGCAACGTGTGATGTGCATTTTATTACATCACACAGTCTTTTTTGTTATTTGAACTTTATACAGTGCGCTGAGCTGGCGATGACATGCAGTTCCATCCACAGAGCTGCAATATTATACGAAAAGCTCTAAAGCAAAGCTTTGTGGTGTGAACAGGACACATCGAAAACTATTGCTTTTTGGGTGTCATTACAGTTACCTGCATTTATCCATGAAAAAAAAAGACACAGCTAAATGTACATAGTGTGAACGGGCCAAAGAATTCAAACTGTGCTAGCAACAGCAACACAGATCAAACCATATATTGCCAGCACACCATGGATCTTCAAGATAACATCCATGTGATGAAGGGGTCCTATGTGGACCAGAAACATTGCACTTTACCACTGTGATGCGATTTAACAATGTGATCACATTGATGTAACATTTGAACATGATCTTGCAGATCTGTGGTGTGCTTAATAATCATCCAACCATTGTTCTTGATGAGGTATTAGTGGGAATATCATTTAATGTGTTTTTGGAAAACATCACTTCAGTAAGGCTAGCCATAGACGGATGGCTTTTTGTTTGTTTTTTGTTCATTCAACCAGCAAGGTGGATGGAGGAATCCTTCCTGTATTCTGACAGGGGGGACTCTCT